AAGCGCTTGCTCTTTCCTCGCGACTCACCATTCTGGCCGGGTCACTTCCACATCGACCACGGTGCCGGGTGGCGGATTCTGGAGTCGCCCGTTGATGTGTGCAAAGAACCTGTTGTTCAGGCGCTTCTTCACTACAATCACCGTCAGTTTCGGGCTTTAGTAAAACCACACAAAAAATGTTTAGCATTACAGTGTTAAGACTGTTTTTAAATAAAGGCATTTCTTGAGAGAATTCAATGACTGCCCTTTATTTTCCCGGAAGAATCCAGGTGGGTAAAGAACACACACATTTGCTGGCCAATCCAATGACTTGAAAGTACTGCTGTTACCCAAAGCGGAACCCAAGCCCACTGAAGCCAGGGGCCACTGCCAGTCAAGGAACCACGAGGGAACCCCATTGTGAAATGCTCTGGGCTCCTGGGGGGGGGAGAGGGCCCCACGTGCCAGCCCATGCAAAGCAGGCCCACCCAATCCCAATCCTTGGCTTCAGGGTCCAGCAGCCACATGAGCCCCAGCTGGGCCAGAACCAGGGACCCTAAAGGGCGGGGGGGGGGGTCTTGTCTCCTGTGCTAGGCTCATAATATAATATTTATAATATTATAATGTAATACAATATAATACTATTTTTTTTGTCGTGTCAGGAGCAACTTGAGAAACTGCAAGTCGCTTCTGGTGTGAGAGAATTGGCCGTCTGCAAGGACATTGCCCAGGGGACATTGCTTGGATATTTTGATGTTTTCCCATCCATGTGGGAGGCTTCTCTCATGTCCCCTTTGCATGAGGAGCTGGAGCTGATAGAGGGAGCTCATCTGCCTCTCCCCGGATTAGAACCTGTGACCTGTCAGTCTTCAGTCCTGCCGGCACAGGGGTTTAACCCACTGTTTCACCGGGGGCTCCAAAATAATACTAATAATGCTTATAATTATACATGTTATGTTACAAATAATATTACTAACAACGCTACAACATAGTGGTATAGTACAATATAGCAATAGATAACACTGACATTGTTATGATAACAATATGATTTTTTGTATGCATATATATATGTTGTAAGCCGCTCTGAGTCCCCTTTGGGGTGAGAAGGGCGGCATATCAATCAATCTATATAAATAAAAATGTCATGTTCGTTTGTGGGATTAACAGAACTCAAAAACCACTGGACGAATTGACACCAAATTTGGACACAAGACACCTAACAACCCAATGTATGTCCTTCACTCAAAAAAAAATTGATTTTGTCACTTGGGAGTTGTAGTTGCTGGGATTTATAGTTGACCTACAATCTAAGAGCATTTTGAACCCCACCAACGATGGAATTGAACCAAACTTGGCACACAGTTCTCTCATGATCAACAGAAAATACTGGAAGGGTTTGGTGGACAGTGTCCTTTGGTTTTGGAGTTGTAGTTCACCTACATCCAGAGAGCACTGTGGACTCAAACAAGGATGGATCTGGACCAAACTCTACACGAATACTCAATATGCCCAAATGTGAACAGTGGTGGAGTTTGGGGAAAACAGAATCTTGCCATTTGGGAGTTGTAGTTGCTGGGATTTATAGTTCACCTACAATCACAGAGCATTCTGAACCCCACCATCGATAGAATTGGGCCAAACCTCTCACACAGAACCCACATGTGGGCCACAGCAAAGCATGGCAGGGGACAGCTAGTGTCATAAATAAATCAGGAATTGGATGGAGGAACGCAGGCACAGGCTTCCCCAGAAGAGGTGGACCAGGGGCCATTCCCTTCAGAGAACAAAGCCCTTCCTCCCTTCCTTCCGGGAGAGGCAAAGGGCAGTGCAAGGCCCCAAGGCCCCCTCCTCCCTTCAGCCTCTCCCAAAAGGAAAGCACCCTGCGCAGTGCCCTCACTGCAGGAATTCAGCTCTGCTCTCCATAAGGAAGCAGCAAAACGATGGGAAATGGAGAGAGGGTTTGGAGGAGAGATGGAACTCTCTGCTGCGGAGGGAGTGTGGTCTAGGGAGGCTCCTTCTCTGGAGGCTTTGAAGCAGAGGCTGCATGGCCATCTGTCAGGGGGGCTTTGAAGGCAATCTTCCTGCTTCTTGGCAGAATGGGGTTGGACTGGATGATGGCCACGAGGGGGTCTCTTCCAATTCTAGGAATCCAGGATAGGGAAGCCCACCCCTGACTTGCCCCCTCCCTCCCTCCCTCCCTCCCTCCCCCGCCTGTCTCTCCTCCCTCCATATTTGACGTGCAGACGGATCTTCTCAGGGCAACTCCCCTGACGCAAGTGCCCACCCCCTTCTTTCCTGGGACTTCCCATCCCTTGGGTCTCAGAAGACTGGGGAGGAACTCTGCTCTCTTTTCCTGTCAGTCTCCCTTGCTCCTGGAGGAGGGTCTCTCGTGGTTGTCCCCCCCCCCCGACTGCACGCGCCCTGGGCTTACTTGTAGTCCTGGCCGATGGTTTTTAGGCACTCCAGGAACTGAGGCACTTCGTAGTTGACCAGGGTCTTGAGCTGGCCGTCTCCCACTCCGTCCCGGTAGACGATGATCCTGGAGGGCAAGTGCTGGTTGTGGGTGTACCACGTCCTCAGGGCCGCTACCAGGGAGAGCACCACATAAGCAAACGCAGCGTAAGTGGAAGAGGAGGAGGATGCTCGGGTGCAGCCACGCTGGCAGACCTTCCCCCACCCCCCACCCCAAAGGACTGGGTGTGCCAGGCCCAGCCCAGCCCAGCCCTACAATATTCTCCCAGCAAAGGCAAGACAACTCAAATATCCAGTGGTTACAATGGCATTGTTGCTGTTGACGTTACTGCATGCTTTCCAGCCATTGCGGGCTGAGGGCGACCCTACTGCCAGGCTTCCTGAGGCTGAGAGAGTGTGACTCTCCCAGGGAGGGCCTCCCACAGGGTTTCAGGGCCCCGTGTTCCCCAGAGTCGGGTGCCACGCTGCTCCCTCAAAACAAGGAACCCCCCCCCCCATTGATACTGCAGTGCCCCAAAGCCCAGCATGGGCTCCCCAGCAACCAACTGCCCCTGTGAGAGGAGAAAGGCTGCGGCCCCACCCCCCACGGAGAAATTGCCCCAGGAGGGGGCACCTTACCCTGGAAGCACACTTTGAGCCCGTCCACCACTTCCTGCCCTCGGTCCTGGAGGACGCAGCGCGAATACCAGCTGCGGAGAGACAGGGAGGAAGGCCAGGCTTCAGAAGAGAGAAAGGACTCCTTCGCCCGCCAGGAAGCTCTCCCTCAGGTTGAGTCAGGGGGAGCCCCTTTTCCCGCCCCTTGAACCCAGGGCTCCATGGTGTTGCCGTCTCCAGAGCAGCAGGAAGCAAGCGCACCCTCTTCCTCTTCTCCCTTCAGAGATCTCAACCTAGCTCTCCAGACTGGACACCCCCAAGCCCCTCCACAGGGATTCCTGCCTTTCGAAGCCCTGGTCACTCCACGGCTGGACTTCTGTACTGCGCTTAACATTGGGGCCCCTCTGGACCAAGTGTGGAAACCCCAACCAGTTCCAAATGCAGCAGCCAGACTGGTCCCAGGAACGCCCAGGAGGGGGCCCATCACCCCTATCCTCATGTCACGCCAGTGGCCGCCAATGAGTTTCCGGGCAAAGGACAAAGGGTTGCTTTCGAGGTTTGGGTCCAGGTTCCCTATAGGACTGCCCTGCACCCTGTACAATCCACAGACCCTCAGGGGGTGGGGGTGGGGGCTGTTCCAGGCAGAAAGGACCGGCCTGGTGACTGCCACCGGCCCCGAAAGAAGGCCTTCCAAAGGAAGAGATGCCACAGCGAGATGGTGGAATTTAAGGCACCCTTTGATGGGCCATCTCTTCCGTCAGAGGCCGAGCCAGCCAGTTTTAGCCTGTGGATTGTCATTTGCCTTGTGTCTGAACTCTGTGCATCTCGTTCTCTGCCTTTTAATCATGACTCATCTGTTGTTTTAACAATGTGTCCCACCTCACGCTGCAGGAAGAGGCGGGCAAGGCATTCATTATTATTATTATCACTATTCTCCTCTTACGGATGGAGCCTGGAATGGGGTTTGCTTTTTCAGCTGCCGCATCACACTCTTGGCTCCTCTGTTCCGCTTGTGGTCCACGAGACTCTTGCGCCCCTTTCTCAGGGGCTGCTCTCAAGCCAGGTGTTTCTCTTTCATTCTAAGCTTCAGAAGGAGCCTTCCCAGGCGGGGCCCAGGCACTTCCCCTCCCTCCCCTCCCCCTCCCCCTCCATTACAGACCTGACCCAAAGTCCCCAAGAGTTGCCCTCTATTTTGTATCTCCAGGCCAAGGGAGTCTGCGGAGTGTCCCACCAGCCCATCTGTTCTGGACCCTGAAATGGCCCGTGACTTCCCTCCCCAGAGAAGCCTGTGCCCATCACCATCCGCCCGGTGCTCTCCTTACCGCGTCATGCCCTGGTTCAGGCTGGCCACGAATGCTGCAATGGATCGCCGGCCAGCCAGGGTGTCATGGTAGCAGTCGATGCCCACCACCATGAGCTGCTTCAGCTGGAAGGCAGCAGAGAAACACAGAGCGGGTGAGGGAGGGGGGACAGGCCACCGGGCAGCAATGGGATTGTGGTTCCTGACCCCTCCCCCCAACCTCTCTTTGGGCAGCAAAGAGAGAAAGCCTCCTTTCAGTGGCTCCAGCCTTCGCTCAGCGCAGTGTTGAGTATCCTGTGTACACCACAGGTTTACAGTGCCAATGAAGCCCTGCAACTTTCCATAGAATCATAGGGTTGGCAGAGACCACCCTCACGGGCCACCAAGTCCAGGCTTCTCCTGAGACTGAGCCCTCTGCCCAAAAGGAGGCCACTCAGGAGGGGCCCCAAGCCCAGCCCAGCCCAGCCGGGTGCCCCTGGGGAAAGAGAGACTGCTTCCTTCCTTCCTTACGGGGACCTCGACGCTCCAGAGCTCTCCTCCCATCTTGCAGTTCATCTGCAGCGCGATCTTGGTGGCGACGGCCATGACCGTCTGGGGCTTGGCCAGAGTGCGGGCCAGGACGCACTGGCTGGGGGTGGGGCAGTCGCTGCACAGGAACTTCTTGATGGTGTCGTACTTGTCCTTGCGGCTGCTGGACAGGAGGCACACCACCTGCGGGAAGGAGAGCGCCCACCCCCTGCGTCACAAGGGGGTTGAGGAGGTGCCCCAAAGCCCACCTGGCCTTCTAGGCTCTTCTGCAGGAGCAGAGCTGGCACAAGGCCCCAGGGCCCCACCACCACAAAGGATCGAGATCTGGCACACTCTGCCCTGCAACAACCACGGACCCAACTCAACCCAGCACACGGGAACCAGGAATGCCAGCAGCTAGGCTTTCAGAGCACCTTTTTCTCCCAGTGCTTCTCTCTCACAAAAGAACAAGCATGGCCAAGACCCTGGGATCAACCTCTTGCCGTGCGCCTTGTGGGTCCCACTTAAACGTTATCACAAGAGATTCAATGTGCAGATTTGACAAATATGAATTTAATATGATGTGTGGGAATGAATGGAAGGATGGGTGGTTGGAGTTAATAATTTCGGAAACACCAGTATAATATTAAGGCCTGCAATGACTAACTCCCTGCTTGCTGCTTTGTGATTAAAACCTGTTAATGAGATCTGAAGAGTATACTCTGATAAGAACTGGGACAGTGATAACAGAAATGTTTGCAACATTCCTTATGTTAAGAAGGAAGTCAACACAAGCCTTGTGTTTGTCAACAACAATCAAGATCAACATCTGGCCAGTAAATTGGGATGGAGCCAGGATGGAAGGCCTCTATCGTTCATTTACAACTTTGGGAAGACATCAGCAGAATATTCCTATAAAAGACTCAGTCTAATAATGCTCAAAGTGTGGCAGACCTGAGGAGTCTGGTCCACCCGCCATGCTCTGCTCAATAAGGGAAGGAGAGAGATGGTGTATTTGGAGAGTGTCAGATATGCTCTGGGAAAGCAGGATTGTGTACACTTTGGGGCTTCTTTCTCAAGGGAAGAGGAAGAAGTACGCTTTTGGAGTCTTGGATTTTGTGCAGGGAGTCAGGTTCTGCTGTAGGGAAAACTCAGATCTGGTCCTTGGCATTGTGCTTAGGGAAAGACGTTTTGGCATTTCGGCATTTTGAAGTTATTGAACTATGGAAGTTTTGGAACTATGTGTTTGAAAGGCTGCAGGAAATCAGGGTCTGGCCTAAGAGGTGCTTCTCCAAGGAGGGAGAAAAGGATATGGTGATATTTAGATGTATGTGGATGAATGCGTGTACATGTGTGTGAATGATGAGTGAAAATGTAATTCCCCTTCGTTCGTTTGTTAGCCAATGTAACTGTAAATCCAATGTAGTTGCAGATAATCTGTATGTCTAAATGTTTTTCTGTAATCTTACGTCCCCTCTCACACTGGGAATTGCAATAAAAAGAACCTATGCTTCATAAAGTTATTGAAAAGTCATTCATGACAACGTGGGCATCACAAGGCACAAGAACGGAAAGAGCAGGACCCGGAAGGCAGCTCCTCAGCCCAGAGAACAATCCCAGGGTGCTCCCAACCCTCTCAGTGTGGCATTGCCTCTTGTACAGAATGACTTCAGGCTCCCTCTGCCTTCCAGTCCAACCCATTAAGCGTGAGGATTCTTCCCAGGATAGTTCAGAGAGGCCATGAATGTCCAAGGCGTGGCTCAATACACACCATTTGGGTGTCGGAGGTGACGGTCTGCTTCAGGGCTCTCAGGTAGGCCTCCGTCCTGTCTTCCACTTCCACCCTATGAAAGGAGAGCATAAGACCTTCAAGGATAGTGTAGAAAGAATGACCCCTCCCCAATCAATGCTGTGAGACCGCGACCCCCATTGCCCTTGGCAGCACTGACAAGACAGAGACAGGCGGCCTTGCAAGCCAGGTCTGTAGCACAGGGAGGAGGGCTGGGCACCCCCCCTCTTTGCCATGCAGTCGTTCACACCCTTGGGCATTCTTCCACCCCCTGCCTTCCATTCCCTTCATAGACTAGCAGTTCAGGGGTTATTCCTCTGAAATTGGCAGTCTGCTCCCCACCCACTGCATTCTGGGAAACCCCCTCTATCAGGTCCCTGGTCCCACAAAACGCGGGGGGGGGGGGG